GTTTCTGAGGATGATGCTCTTTGAGATCAGTTCATTGCCGGCGTTTCATCAAGTCGTATACTTGAAGGTTCTGTGCTTTCATTCACTATGGCAGTTAAGGTCGCACTGCAGTTTGAGCGTGCGAGTGAATAATTAAATGAGTTGTCTGCTTCTGTACAGCCATTTTTGAAGCATTTACATACGCATGCTAAGCACTCATTGAAGAAAGTGCATGCCCGAAAACGGAGGATAGTTCATCTACGCGTGATAGCGTCTGACATGCGTCGCAGAGTGGGCCTTCTCACTCACCGCATTGTTTTCGTTGTGGCTCCCGGAACCACAACGTGGCGTGGTCTCGATGCCCAGCTCTAGGTCAGTGTTGTTTATTCTGTCGTCGGAAATGTCATTTTCAACGCATGTATAACCAGAAACGGTTTACGCAAGCAGAGGAACGTTCATGAGCTTGAGTGCGACGACGCTCTTTCGACATCTAATCATGCCGAGCAAGTTCTGATCATCCATTACTCGCCGCGAGATGCGGTCCACATAAATGTGCAAATTGCTGATGTCAGGTTGACACTTTTAGATGATTCGGGCTCATCTGTTTCTACTCTCTTCGACGAAGTGATCACTGACAGGTTCCCTAACATGTCACTTTTACCTGCTCCCCGTGTTTCCTTGCTTGACTAATATAAACGAGCAATCTCTGTGCGTGGCTGCTCCTGGGCCGACGTTATTTACAAGGGTCGGAGTGCGCAGGTCCTGTTCTATGTTGTACATCGAGGCACTTCTTTGATTGGCCTTGATGGCATAAAGGCTCTTAAGATACGTATCGGAGGTGCGACATCGCAGTGCTTCCAAACATCTATTCCTCCTACGAGAAGTGTAGTTGAGAATACGGCAGATAAGTCTGCGAAAACGTCACCTGCACCCATGCAGCCCATAGAATGGCCTCAGTGACCATGGCAAAAACTTTGCATCGATATTGTAGGCCCCCTTGAACATGTGCCTCAGAACAACAGGTTCATGCTCGTGGATTATCACTCAAAATGGCCCGAAGTTTATTTCTGCAGTAGCGTGTCCACAAGCACAGTCAAGGAGTTTCTAACCGGCGTATTTTCGCGAGAGGGTTATCCTGAAGACACAGTCACTGACAACGGGCCACAATTTATTTCTCATGAATTCACAGAATTTCTTCACGATCGAACCATTCGCATGTCTCATTCATCAGTTGACGATCCTCAGGCTAATGGACAAGTCGAGTGCTTTAATCAAAACCTTAAGAACTATGTACAAATGTGGCTTCTGGAGCGACAACCGCTCCGCCAAGCAGTAACTGAGTATCTGGATGTATACAAATGCACACCAGATGCCACAACCGGCGTCCCACCAGCAGTGTTGTTGCATGGCAGGATGCCCCGAACCAGGCTGCACGTAGTAGGCTTTTCTGCACCAGCTTTTGAAGAAGATCCAGCTAAAGAGTTTTCACGATTACGCCATAGGATCAAGAAACAGCAGCTAACCAGAACAAAATGCGGGCCGCAGAAGAGCTGCCAAAGATACTACAATCGCAGTAGGTGATTTTGTTCAGTTCAGGAAGCCATCGATTAGTTTCGAAGGAGATAGTGTATTTTCACCACCAACAAAAGTTGGGAAGAAACAAGGGCCTTCCTCCTTCCGGCTACAAGATGGCAGGACCTGGAACGCCTCAAAACTTGCCAAGGTTCCTCAGAAAAGCCAGTTTTATCTTCCTGAGTGTTCCAGTGAGGTGTTGCCCCGTCTTTGTGAGTGTGCTGTGCCATGCTATCGTTCTGTGCCTACTTCTCCTACAATGGTACAACCACATCAGTCTCCCATTCTGACAGTTTCTCCTGCTGGGCTGCCCACACCGCAGTCTTCTGCTGCGGCAGCTGTTGTGGTGCCAGTGCCACAACCTACAAGTGTGCAATCAATCTCATCTGGTCCTACAACGGTGCGACCACATCAGTCTTTTGTTCTGCCAGTTTCTCCTAGCCGGGTTGCCCACACCACAGCCTTCTGCTGGGCCAGCTGTTGTGGTGCCAGTACCACAACCTACTCGTGTGTAACCAACCTCATCTGGTCCGGTGCAGTCTCAGCCTGTGCCGGCACAGACTGCTGCCACGCAAGCAACAGGGTGGCCGCAGCGAGAACGACGACCTCCTCCATGGGTGAAGGACTATGTGTTGAAGTAGTGTGGGTGTACATTGTGTATACAAGTGTTCTCTATTTGTTATAACCCCTACTAACACCATTAACCTCTATAAATAGGGAAAGGGAATATGTTGTAATGTCAGTTTATTTTCAGTTTCGTTTTGTTTTTGTACCCGAAAGGGGGCGTTGGTATGTGTTTTTGTCTTGTATATATGTGGGTGTCCTGAGTAATAAAGCTGGCTTCGAGTCCATGTTGTGCACTGTTCGTGGTCGCTCTGCAGACACTACACAGGCCGGCTTGGCAGTACGAAAAGTCTTGGAGTAGCCGAATTACGGGCTCACTTGCCTAAAGCTGGAACTGGGAGGGTCCGCAAGACTTTCGCAGTCACTTGGGATTATTTCAACAAAATTGCAGGCAAGTAAATGTCGAAACTCGTAGAAAATCCACGGAGCCGATGCGGCGCACGTCCGCACTCCGCAGCTCAGCGTAAGAAAATTTTCTTTTCTTTTTACACCGTGCAGTCAATAGCGCCGTTTGCCGCACGTGGCATTTTTCTGTCGCGAGAAACGCAGTGTGCGTTTCCTGCTTTACTAGGGGTGTGTTCCAATACTCACCGTAGACGGCTAAATAGACAGCTAAATGTACGGCGGCCATCTTAAGTCCCATTCCAATTTACACGTAACCGGCAAAGTAGACAGCTCCGAGAAGGCCGCATCGCAGACAAATACGGTGTAGGCTACTTTGCTATCTCAACAAGATGGCGACTCAGCGAATCACTCAGATAGATCGAATCTCACCGGAATGGTCGTCTGCACACAAGCAGACGCTTCTCCAGAAGCTCAGTGTGAGTAACGTTTAATTTTTTCAGATTTTAAAACAAATTAAGCCAGGAAATACAACTGTTTTGTTTGTTCATTTTGGATTTCTCTTCTTTACGCGAGGTGGCACCTGGTCACGTAAAAGCCATCTAAACGCGTTCCAATTCTCGGACAGAATGGACTCGGTGCTGTCCTCTAAACAGTCTACGTAGACTGTCTACGTGCTGTCTAAAAATGGGAACACAGCCTAGCAAGCTTTCATGGTTCTGGTGTCACGAAGACTACCAAAAGAACGCGAAACATCAAGAGCGAATAACACGCTCGATTGTGAATCTTCGGAAGCTGTATGGCGCTCATGAAGACAGCGCCTGCAAGCATGGACACAAGAGATCAGTCATGACACCGCTAACGCCTTTGTGAAATTCAGCCGAAAATAAGATAAAGCGATATATCTTATACACAGATTCTCCAGTCGGAATAAAGTAAGACGAACAGCACCGCGCCGCAATTATTGAGTGGCGGTGACGGTGGCATGACGTCGCGACGCAGAACCCTACTGTCACCGCAGCAGCAGTCTGAGGGTCTTAATCAAGCGTGCAACGGCCTAGCGTACGCAAAGCGTCAGAGGAAGCAAGAGTGTGCATATGCTGAACCCAAGAAAGATGCCTGCGTTTGTGCACGCAGGAATTGCGCGCGCTAGATCTCGGCGATTACGTTGCACCCACTACGTCCGTTGCGTACCTTACCAGCGTCTCTCACGAGATCTCTAACTGCCGAGACCAAAAGAGACAAGATGGCTTCGGTCGACCACACTACGTGCTCGTGGCAGTGATTTCCATAAATTTCGGTGGATTTGGAACCTAGATAGGTAACCTGAAGCCAATCGGTGAACAGGTGCAGCAGAATGAGATCACTGCTAAGTTGCGGCGCAACGTTGAACGACGGGACAATGTCATTTAGGAAAAAGCCAGAACCCAGTGGTGGCGTCAAGCACCGCGACGGATTGGTGGGTTGCGTACGGGGCGTCGTGTGTGTGATTCCTTTGAACTGCGGCTACGTTTGTCTATCCGGAATATGTCTGAATAATCGCCTGCAAAAGGCATACATTAGCGTGCGTGTGGATGCACATTTTTGTTATACGAAACTCGAGTGATTTTTCTAGCACATAGTGCCCTCATCATTGTGAAAGCAGCTATCACAGCACGTAAAAAAATAGCACGGGAAGACGCTGCCACCAATGGAGGCCTAAGCGCTTATCAAACTGAGTTTGGTTATTTTCTTTTTTCTTTCTCGTGATCTTAGAAAATGTGTGTAATAAACAATGAATGTTCAAATGGCAGTAAGCGACCGTCCACGCGGTTTCTGTCCCCATGCTTTTGTTCACCTATCCTCAACACCGAAATCACTACTCGTCCTCGCCTTATCTCATGTCTTGTAATGTGTGTTGCGTCGACGAATACCGTTTGTTACAGGTTCTTGCTTCTCCCCGAGATGGCGTTAGGCAACACTCATAGGTAGGCCTCTTGACGTTTAGGGGCCGCACACGTTTCAGAAGTTGCGCGCGGTAAACTAATGGTGAAGAAAACACCATTAATCGCAGCGTTAAGAGCACGTTCAGACTTGCGTACACTGAATTCTCTGTTATTTGAGGCGCGCGAAAACGGCAAATCGCAAGCGCGACTTTCTGTCAAATTTGCTGTGTTACGTGCTCTCGCTTGCTGCTCCGACGGCCGCCGCTCAGTCGCGTGAATTGACGAAGCATGATATGATACAATGCAGGCTCCTCCTTTTATGCTCTCGCTACGCAATTTAACCGTCTCCTTTTCCTACCCGCTGGAAGCGGTGTTGTCAGACGCTGCGCAGTAAATTACCTCGCTGAGCAGCCACAGCGAAATGGCCAAAATACGTCCAATACAGGTCTCGCTACAAACCATGAAAGAAACTACCACCAGTAGTCCTTGATTCTTTGGCGCCAGTGTCCTATTTAGTGGAAATCAAACGCTTTGTGCTGCTGACATCAAACGACTTACCGGGCATTGGAACATCTCTTGAAGCCGGTCATTAGGTTGAATGCCATCTTTGGCACGCAGGAGGACATACACAGCCTTTACACCACTGCAGGATCGAAGAAGTTTTTCAATAAGGATCTGAAATGTCAGAAAGAACATGCATGGGGGTTACTAATACTGTAAATATGAATACCGCACATCTGCTTAGTATCTAGGGTCTGTCGTTCGGAAACGCCGATATGATAATGAGAGACGCCGTAGTGGACAGTTCCGGAATATCGAGTCCACCTGGCGTTTAACGTGCAATGACATGCCACAGTTTACGGGACTACCATTTTGCCTACAACGAAACCACCACGGCCGGGATCAAAATCGCGGCTTTTGGGTCTGCCACCGAGCACCTTAGCCACAGATCGACAGGCGCGAATAGAATACCACGCATCAGTCGTAAACAATTACGAATTCGTTCGTAAAAGTCAACACAACATGCAGAGTAGAACGTTCACTTATACAGGATATTTAGGTAAAGTGACGAAAAGTAAGGCGTGATTTTGAAAATACTGAACTTATTTTATTTTACAAATCACCATGAAACGTTAATCCATAAACTTTCCCTTCAGTGTTAGATATGTGCTATATAAACATAATGTTGCAACTGTTCGAAAGTTTTTTTATGAATAGAAAGAACGAAATCAACATGTGTCGCATTTTGCCTATACCCTTGGAGCAACATGAGGGTGTGAAAAAATTTCATCTTTTCCGTTGTTGCAGTAGAAGCACTTGCAATTCATTCCGTGCACTTTCGCGCAGTCATCACAAGCGCACTTCCACGCTTAGAATCCAGACAGACCCCGGCACTCCGTTGCTATAATCTCCTTCCATATCAAATGCCATCATCATCATCATCATCAGCCCGACCACGTCCACTGCAGGACAAAGGCCTCTCCCACGTTCCGCTAGTTAACCCGGTCCTGTGCTTGCTGCTGCCAATTTATACCCGCAAACTTCTTAATCTCGTCTGCCCACATAACCTTCTGTCTCCCCCTAACTCGCTTCCCTTCTCTGGGAATCAAGTTAGTTACCCTTAATGACCAGTGGTTATCCTTCTACGCGCTACATGCCCGGCCCATGTCCAAATGCCATCACTCCCTTTTAAATCCGAAGCATTTCCTAGCGAGCTTCGGCAACTTTGAGCGATTATATCTATCTATCTATCTATCTATCTGCTTACATTTGGGTGCTCTTGTAGTCACCACCTTAACTTGGCGTGAACCAAAATCACCATGGGAGGGCGAGATGATTTGAAGAATATGACGCGCTTGTGAAGACATGAATAATGTCACACTCCCATCGCGTACGTCGTGAAACACTTTCCGCCAGACAGTGGCACATACCCACGGGTGGGTACGTGCCACTGGTATGCGGGTATCTGCCAAAGGTGATTGACACTTAGCATATACCCAGGAACTACGAGAACACCCATTTAACGCGCGAGCGTTAAGAAATACCCGACATTGCATTCGTAGGGTGGACGCTATCAAAGAATAAATGTCAAGGTCCCAGCTGGAATCGAACCCAAGCATTCTGCGTGGCAATAAGGCGTTTTACCACAGAGCTATGTCAGGTCTCAAAAGTACTCCTCGAATAGATGCTAATCTTCGTGAAACGTCAATAGTGGTTGCAGTGCATCCTACCCATTGTTATAAACATAATATATGTACTCCTTTGATACAGCCTTCACATCGGCCATGAAACTCTGTCCCGTGTGACACATACCCATGTACCACTGACGTACGAGTTTACGCCAATCACAGCAAATATAAACAAGCTAAAAAGGGCGAAAAGAGAAAGTATTAGGAACGCGGAGAAAGACGTCTTTACTCAGAGCGCGATGCTGGCGTTGCATTACGTTAGCCATGAGGTCACGCGGTTCTAATGGTAAGAAACGCAAGCCGGTGAAAATGCAACATTTTATTCGACGAAAAGCAAAATCAACGCACTTTCAAATGTAATACGGATGGTTGCATTAGGAGCACTTGTATAAACACCATCACACCCCTATTTTTACAAATTGGTGTTCGTCAACGAAACACCCTTTTAACGCACCATTTAACTCTAATTTAGAGGGTGTTGTAAGCAGGCTACATGATGATGTGTGGTTCTTAATGGCGCAAGGGCCAATTGGTGCCAAAGGGCGCCATTTCAGTACACAGAAGATGATTGATTGATATGTGGGGTTTAATGACCCAAAATGACCACATGATTAGGAGACGCCGTAGTGAAGGGCTATGGAAGTTTCGACCAGCTGGGGTTCTTTCACGTGCATCTAAATCTGAGCACACGGGCTTACAACGTTTCCGCCTCCATCGGAAATGCAGCAGACACAGCCGGGATTCGATCCCGCGACCTGCGGGTCAGCAGCCGAGTACCTAAGCCACTAGACCACGGCGGGGCAGTGGACAAGAGATGTGAACATATGATTTGTGGCTGTACAGGGGCATTAGAATTCTTCACGCTAATGCGGGTAGGACTATTGTAATACTAAATCAATATAGTGACGAAAATTATAGGCAGGGGAACTGAAAGGCGGCACGACGTGATAATATAATAACGGCGAGGATGTAGCGACCGTAGCCATGACTAAGGTAGTGAGGTCGCGCTACGGATCAGCTCGGTATATGGGGGGAAAGCTATGTATGTCGTTGGAAAATATTGACAGTCATTCGAGTTTGAAAAGCGAATCCCTACCGATGAGCATGACAGGATGTAGTGGGAGTTACTGTCGGTATGGTAATACAAAGTCCATTTTTGTTTCTTAGATAATCTAGTTCATTCCACTGCACGAGGATGCGGAGAACCGTTACTGGTTCTCCACATCTCTCACAGAATGGAGGGTCGCCGCTGGAAAAAGGTGTGAGTGTGTAGTGTGTGTATGTCCTATTCTAACACTTTCAGCCCTAATTTTGTTCAACCGGCAGATAATTTTGTCTCTCGTTGATTTGGATACACTACAACCTCAAGAACACGAACATACTTTTTCTGAGCATCCCATGAGTATACAAGAAAAATGGCTCTATGTCGCAAAATAGGACACCAGGGCTTAGGGGTTGTAAAGTGAAATATGGTGCATTTAAATACGTCTATGTATTTAACCCTGTTGGAGCAAGCTATTATTGTGAAACTAACATGCAAAAGCCTGGTATTAGTTACAGTGGCTAAACCATCCAATAGCAAGCTTTTGCGCTCGTGATACACAGCCCCTCATTGGATGACCACTATCTACTTATCGAATACTTTGGAAGATCCAACACCATAAAAATTGCCGAATCCTGCTTTGCCGTGCCTGAATTCTTTCCACCCATGTCAAGTCAAGTCAAGATCCTTGATGATGTGGCGCACACCCACGCTGGGGGATTGACCAAGAACCGAATAGTTTTCATGAACTTCTTCCTTGATAACAGGTTAAGATTAATCTATTTACGAGAAATAAAAAATGGCAGCATATCCACGGGGTGAATGATGGAGAGTGGGGCGAAGCATCCATCCGCCCATTCGTTCTTGCTTCCATCTATCCATGCGTCTGTCTGTGTGACCGTCCGTGCGTCCATCCGCCCGTTCGTGCGTGCGTCTGTTCGTGCGTTCGCACGTCCATCCGCGCGTCCACCGCTGCGTTCATCCATGCGTCCATCCGTCCGTGCAGCCATCCGTGCGTCCGACCATGCATCTGTATGTGTGTCCGTTCGTCCATCTAGTCAACACTTCAAGTACCGCCATCTCACATCTTTTCATCATATATTTCGCACATAGAAGCACCACCATCCTGTTGACATTCCAAACTAAACGAGAGGGGGCACACACACACTGTCTTACGGCTTGCGCTTCGTGTCTACTTCCCACGTTTACCCACCTCCAGTTCATGATTTATACTACTTTATTGTATTCACGGCACTGCGGCCCAATGGTCGCTAAGTCTTTCTGAAACCATGGAGGTTACGCCCAGCAAGTATCACGTAGCAACCCTTTCTTGTCAGATTGTGCTCAATGCACATGCCAATGACTGCTACTGAAGAATGAGAGACAGGAAGGAGAATTCGGCTTTTAGTTAACGCACACGCTACGAATTTTCTATTGTTCAACAACGCACAGGGGAACATTAACGACGCACAGGAGAGATGAACGCAATGGAGGGACGCACAGGAGGCATGGACGTGCGGTTGGACAGATCAAAGCGTAAAACATGTTACGTCTGCGACGGACGAACGAATGCCGCTTTAAGGAGCTTCGCCTCTAAAAAATCAATGCAAGAGGACGAATTTGACGGTTGGCAAGATGATTGAACTCAACTTAATCGTCGTCTTCAAGCTCCATTACACACCGTTATTATATTTTAGAATACAAATTAAAAATCAATGCGTAGTATCTTGCTGTTGGAAACCGCATACACATTATCTAAGACATGTGGGCAGGTTTAGAGACTAGAAGAACACAAAATCGGGAGCTTTTACAAGAGCTGCACAACCGAATTAACCTGGATGCATTCAGAGGTCTGACAACCACTGAGCCTTGGTGTCCTATATTTAGGATATTTAGATCGTTCGCTGCCGCGAGCAATACACTAGTGTTTGGGAAGACCCACTTTGTAAATAGCAAGTTAAACATCTTAGAAATAACATGAAAAATTACGATAGGTACTGATCTAATAGTTAACCAATAAGGTACCATTTATTATTTTGTTGTGACGCGTGTCATCGTTATCGGATTCCACCAATTTGTTTTCCGCTTTGCAGAGCTTAAAAAAAGAACATGTCACGCCATCTGCTGGCGATATTACCAATTAACAAAATTAACAATTAACAAAAGCACGCTCTTTACGCAAATGGAGACTCTGTGGCGAGTGCAGTGTTTTTTGTGCGCCTGAAAACTACAACAGAGTCATTCCGGGGAAAGTCCAAGGCGTACTGTTTTCCCCACCGCGAGCGCGAGATAAGTGCCCCCACGCATGAGCGTCCACTGCTCCCGCTCTCCGCGGGACAAAGTACGCGTGATAGATGAGAGTGCACGCTTTCCCCGCCCCACTTCCCCCTCGTGTTACCTGGCGAAGCTAGAACGCCTCGGTGCGCTCATTCTCCTCCGTTAGG